GGTCTGAAACAATTGCGGGATACGACGAGGGTGGATACGGTTTATTCTGTTAGACTCTGCGGCGAAGGGTTGAGGAGGGAGGAAGGAAGAGAGGAAAAAAGCGAGGGAACACACGGGGTGGTTTTCTTCAGGGACAAGGCTAAGGACCCCGCTGTGGTATCCCTTTTCCTCGGTTTTTGTCCTCTCCTTCCGTCTCTCTTATTCTCTCGATTGGACTGTCCCTCTCTCGAAGCCATCAAGCCTTATCGTGGTAGCGTCAATCACTCTCTTCGTATACGCTCGAACTTATCGTTCGATTAATCGCACTGACAATGCGCCTGTCGATCCAACTTACCGCCAGCGCCCTAAATCCATATGGACCCGACTTCTGATGCAAAATTTTGTTCACGAAAGTGCTTGCACGTGAGCCGGTACACCATGACCGTGCAGTGGAACGCGTTAATCGATCGACAATGAAACGTGTATGGGGATAAGAATGTATCATAATTTTGATAATGTACGAGGAATGGGGAAATTTTCGTGGGTTTTTACCTTTTTTATTTTTTGGGGGAGTGTATTGAAGCTATCAGAACTTCCGTTTGACCTTGTAACTTGGAAAGAGGCTATAGAGGTGCTATGATGATTGCAAAATGAGGATAGTTTGTGTAATTTTCATGGAAGAAATTTTTAAGATAAAACAAGGATAAAATAAGGATAAAAATGCAGAAATAAAAAGTAAAAATTTGATAGAGGAGAATATATGAATATATATCTTACTGGCATCTGTGTATGTACGATATTGTTTCTTCGAGTATTAAAAATGTAGAAAAATTTTTATTTGAGAATTGTTTGGGTAAAGTGTTTAGGATTTAGTTACTATTAAAATATTTATAACGATATTCCAAAAAATGTCTAATGCTGAGAATTGGTAATAATAAAAATATGTTAATATTGAAATCCTTATAAATAACAATTTAAAGAAATTTTAATAGTACTCTATCAAATTAAACAATATTTGTATAAGAACATTTTGTTTAATTTTATAGCCAGAAAACTAATAGTATTTATGAATTTAAATACGACACACTGTGAATATAGGAAACATTGAATAATCGTGTTCTTTTAAAGTAAAATATTATAAATAATTACACTTATTTGTGGGAATGGTAATTACTGCCAATTTATTAAAAGTTCATTCTGTGTTAATTGGTCTGCAAAGTATCAAGTGTGTGTCATTACGTGACAGGATAAATACACGAATTACTTATCTCGTATTCACACAGATAAATTTATTACGTTTAAAATGTAAAGCATCCTCTTCCTTTTAAGTGCAATTTATAACTTAAAGGTCAAATATTTTTTATTTCCTTAATCATAAATTAAATTTAAAGCAAGTGTGACTTAATTATGAATTTAATTTAAGTCTGTTTATTACAATCGTATAGTAATTAACCAGTATAGGACGAGAAATGAGCCAACCTTTCTACATTGTATCCCTTGTTGCAATCTTTAATCAAATGTACTGCTAACAGCACGATACTATACAAAATTAAGTATAACAAACAAATTGTATTACCAAATAAAATTTAGTACGACGATCAAACTACCCTGACAGCTTATGTCAGAAAGTCGACTAAGAAAATTCCCTAAAACCCAAAATTACCCAAAACCTAATACCAAAAACCAACGAATAAAAATAATAGAAAACAGAAATAATAAGAATAATAATTCAAGACACGATTGATACAGACATTTCGAAAAATAAAACAGCAAAAATTTAATGTCTCGCACGGTTAACGTAGGCCAATGAGAATTTAACGAGAGTAAAAAATAAGAAAAGAAAGAAAGGTGAAAAAGAAAGGGGACGCAAAGGCAAGACCTCGGGGTTACGTAAACTCGCCAACCCAACATCCAGCCGGTCGTCAGCAAAACCGGAAGTGCTGTATGGATCAGACTTGGCGCGGTAGTTGTTTGTTAGTAGACGACTTTGTACAACAGCTCGTATCATCGGCGCCAAAATGTCTGGGCCATTACCATTGGCTGCTTGTTTAACCTCGCCAAGGCTAGCGAATTCTGGGTAGTGTCCTCGTGCATCATGATAAATCAATGTGCCGAATTCTGCCGTTGCTATCGGCCAAATTAGTGGCCCACACTGCCTACAACCGCGAATTTTTGAACTTTGTACAACGACACTATATTTTGGGGATGTGCTGTATTTTTTCGTTAATATTTTTTGTCATTATTTAAATATTGTTTTAAATAAGTGAACTATCTAGGCAATATTTAAGTAATAATATAATGTCAACCCATTGCACTCGAGAAGTAATCTTCAGTCACCATTCAATGAAATTTCAAAAATCGCTATTAATTGATATATTAAATTCAAGATAATGTAATAATATTCGAGACACTAAAATTAAATAATTCTACGTATTAATTATTACACGATTTTTTATCTACTGTTATAAAAATATCGTCAGCTCTGTGGTAGAAAATTTTCGAATTTCTATTCTTCTGTAGACAAAAGATTGTAGAATGTAAAGTGTTAAGACTATAAAATAAAGTATAATATGCAGATAATAATTCAGGGAATAATTTAGATATAATACTGAGATAATAAAATGTTTAGATAATAAAATTAGACGTAACGTGTAAATAATAATAATAACCTACTGATATTAAAGAGAATTAATATTGACAAAAAGATTGATAATTAATAAAAAGAAAATCTGCATTCAATTTTAAATACCTAAATTATATTGTACACATACACTCTATTCTATACTTAATCTCTGCTCACTGAAATTATACAGGTGTAAATCACAAGGACGTCACATATACGCATAATTTCGCACCTGTTAATTAATTTAAATTCGATTTTAGCTACCCAAGTATCAAAATGCGAGTAATAACGCAAGCTGGATTTCGGAGCAACCGGTTGTCATCGGAAGAATTTATGACCGGTGAAATATCGACGCACTTCGATGTTTGTTACAGCTAATAAATTACGCGATTTATGATCGAGATCTTAACGCAGCTCCGAGATGGTAAACAAATTCAGAGCACGTTAAAAGTTGAACGCCGGCAGTGGGAATACAAATGCAGGCTACAGGTCGACAGATGCGTAGATTGCACCGAGCCACCGACCGAAGAATAAAGATAATTCAACGAGATACGGAATCAGTCACAGTAGATCTTCGACTTTTGGTGCCATTCGCGACGGTTCATTTGAGATCCATTTGATTTATGAGAGGTACCATGAGGAAAATTCGATTGTATTGACGTATTGCATCGATGAACCCGATGATATCACTATCGAGAGACTTCCCGTAGACGTTGAAGCAGAAATTACTGGTCGAGAGTATATCGTATTGTTCTGTAGGAAAGCCTGTATTAATTGGTCTACTGCTTTGTATTATCAAACCTTAGATACTAATTATATGCAACAGTAAAGTAGTCAAATTTATATATGAATTAAAAGAAATAGAAAATTAATAGCAGTTATTGGAAAATATGTAATAATAATTAGTGTAATGCACATCAGATATAAAATAGTTAAATTATAGAGTACCAGTAGTTACTGATAACCAATGAAAGTACTAATTTAATATACTGATAATTGCTAGAAGTAATTATTATATAATACCAATATAGACAAAATAGGAAATTAATAGCAGTTGCTGGGAAATATGTAATAATAATTATAATAATAATAGTAATGCACATCAGATATAAAATAGTTAAATTATTAAGTATCAATAGTTATTGATAACCAGTGAAAATACTAATTTAATATACTGATAATTGCTAGAAGTAATTATTATATAATACCAATATTGTTATATAATATTTTACATTATATATATTATTACTATATAATGTTCTATGTATTGTAACACTATTGTGTAATATTTGATATAGTATTGTAGTAAAATGTATACACTATATAATACTATATAGCAATAATGATTAGTGATAATTACTAGAAGTACTAATTTAATATCAAACAAAATACAATCTAGCGATCAAAATTATTTTAACTGAAAAACGAATAAATAAATTACAAAATAAAAAAATAAAAATAATCCCCAAAAACTTTAAGTCTAACTCGAGTACTATAATACGCTATAAATTTGAATATACTATTTCATAGCTATATTATTCAAAATGATACATTTCTCAATAATTTTCAAGAACGACCAAATTATCATACAAAGCACACCAGATGTCACTACAGAGATAATTAACCACAATTCGAAGCGCAATAAATAGATCGGTAGCCAGTAATTCCTCGCACAATATCTCACAAAACACCTCACCTTCATCTTCACCCCCGAACTACCCGGAACCTTAATTAAAAAAAGAAAATCATCAAACTCCCGACCCAAACTTTTAAACAGCCCTGAAACCCTTCCCACACCCTCCATTGCCGGCCAAAATTTCAATTTCCCCCCAAGAATTTAATTTCACGAAACTCCTCGATGTTCCACCTGAACTTCACCCCCACCCAGGCTCACTAACCGCCACCTGAATTTCCATCCGCACCAAAAACGACTCAAACCCACCCCCCACCCCCGCACTTACCGATCCTTTAATTCTCCAACGCACGGAATCGCATAAATTAAACGGATTCGTGAGAAAGGTGAACGAGTCGAACCCCTCGCTCATCACCGGATGCCTATTCAAATTTTACGGGCCATATTTGTCGCAATTAAGTGTCGCGTTTTCGAGGCTTATGGGCCAGAAGTATTCCATATTGGGCAAGGGAAGGATCCTACGGCCGCTGTCTCGCGGGATAAAGATAAATTCGTGGACCACGGCACGAGTCTGTAGGGGGTGAGTTTATGGGATGCGGACTACTTTCACGACTCGTCTGACTCATAGTCGAGGGACAGGCGGCGAAGAAACGCTCGCAGAAGGGTGTGTACAGCTTTACGAGGATCTACGAAAGGCGGAGGCCCAGTGGAACGGATCGCGGATTTGCAAATCGGAAGTGGACACTCGAATTGCTCGGTACTTACGGTTCAAGGTCGTTCCTTTGCGTCGCGGTTGCTCGTTCTGGGCTCGGATTCTCCAAGTGTGTGACGACTGTTGCTGCTTCTGTCTTCAGGCTTCTCTGAAAACTAACGGCAGTAATTTGGTTATTGCATTCTTTTTCCAAGTTGTGATTGGTTGTTTTCGATTCTATTGTCTTTGTGTAAAATGTGATTCAGTTGTTTGAAAATTGGGGTAGTTTATTTCGGAACAACACCGTGTCCTCTTCCAGCACTTCGAATGGGACCTCGCACTCTCCGCCATTGATCCGCAGATGGTAAAGAGTGAGAGGTCGTGGAACGAGTTGGACTCCTTCTGCGAGCAGGTCATGCTGCAGAAGGAGTCCGCGGAGCGGACCCTGCCCACAGGGGGAGACGGTGGCGCGAGTGCGTCGCAGACTCGCCGTCCCAAACCTCAAGGTCTGATCCCCGGTGTTTGATCTCCCTTCTCCGCAAGTAACAGGCATGGCGGGCCCAAATAGGAACCCGGCTGTCTAGGAGGCTACGGTCGGTGGCGGCCAGCGTCGCGTAGTGGCCGCGCAGCGCTGTTAAATTGGGACTTATGACTCCATTACCAGGGGTTACACTGTTGGACCCATGTTTGTGGGCATGCCGTGGGAAAGTATCAGTTGTGTTAGTATCGAGTTCCCGGTGCTCCCCCATAGCTGCGAAGCTGGCCACCGTGGAGATTTTAGTGGGTAAAAATCCCACATATTTCTCTCGAAGATTTCTCTCACGTAAGTTTTGGAATAGTGCTTTAATGTTAGTGATTAAGTTTGGGAGTTTGTGTGACATTGGACCTATCTTTGTATATGTTACAAAGTGTGAAAATATGTAACATAAACAAAATTTTTTTGCATAATTAGCAGTAACTACATATATGTTATTTTTTAGATTTCTTCAATTTTTTTCTGTAATAACGAACATATTATTTTTGCTTTTTAACCTTCATAATATCGAAGTTTGTCATTAAAAGCCGGGGGTATAATACCTGCTTTGTTCTAATTGTTAATAAATGTGCACAGAAGTGAATTAAGCGAAAGAATAAATATATTACATCACACTGAAGTATAAACTTACAATTTGCAGTTAAAATAAAGAGTGATATTTATGATGTCTGGGGTTCACCCGTGTACCATTAGGTATTATCAAAGTTAACAATGGAATTACCAAAGGAATCGAAATGAATGGCTTTAGTCTTTTTGTTTTTTGCGATTACTAAAAACGCAAAGTTGCTTCTGATAGAGTCATTTCTGGTGAAGCTTATCAAATAAATTTATTCAATTAAGTGTTTATTTTCATCGTGCCATTTTTATTATCACCATCTATGTATATTACATTTAGTCACATCGTAAGTCGTTTTTATATAAATAAAAAAGAAGAAAAAATTAGGCGCAACTCACGTGAGATTTAAATTTTGAATACTCTTTTTCTGGATTCAATAACAAAAGATTGCATCTTGCAAAATTATTTGTTTAGAAAACAAAATTACCTTTTCCGAATATTAGGTATTGAAGTGGAAAAAATTCATTAATAACGGAGAATTAGTAATATTTGAAGGCAATTTTTCCACTTTAGAGACAATTATTTTATCAATTAATCTATCCAGATAATCAACTAATTACCCCAGAAACTATCTAATCATAATATTTGAAAGAGAATAAATAATAAAATTTCAAAGAAATAACATCACGAGTGCTCGCAACAAAATACTCAAATTGCCAAAAGCAATGAAACGATATTTATCTTGCTCTTATTATAATCTCAATATCCTTTTCTATTTTCGAAACGTACAAAAGAATAAAAAAAGTCTATCGTATCTAAAACCACTCACCGCGAAATGCAAACTCCCAACTATGCATATACAAAACAAAATCCTGTCACTCTTACTTCGAGTAATCGATCTATCGCGCCGCTCGTCGTATTTGAAATTCAAAGTTGGCGCGCGATGCGCGCGCGCGTCAGGAAACGCGGTCAAGATTTGAATAACAGATACAGAAGCACTAAATTATTCTTAGCCGGAACAAAGGAAAGGACGGAAGAGGAAAAGAAGTCATATCGATAATAACTTCGTGCAACGAGTAAAATTAAAATCGACTGCAACGAAGAAGAAAAAAGGGGAAAAAGGGAAATTCGTTTGGCCGAGAGAGAGATGGTGCGACATGACGTTCTGGCGCGTGACAGAGAAGAACGGAAGGAGCAAAAAGTATCGCTGGTAGAGAGTTTACGGATCGGCTGAAACGTCAGAGGGTCAGGGGAACTCCATTTTCGCGAGTAGCTAGACAACAGGCGAGACGGCGCCACCGAGATTTTCGCAAAATTCAACGCGCCCTAAAACAAATATCGAACGGATATATAATGGAGACAATTAACGGATTGAGCTTGAATAGAAGCAGAATAAAAGAGAAAGTATACACGTTATAATAATTTATTGTATTATTGTATTTAAATACTTTAGAAAAAATTTTCTGTATAATAATTATAAGGAATATTATTAGCAAAATTATTAATTACAAATTTATAACGTGTATTTAAGAGAAGCCAATGGCGATTATCTATAATAAAATTCACTATAGAATATTTGAGTACTTGAATTATTTATCAATTACTTAAATATTTAACTTTTTAAGTAATTACTGAAACGAGTAAAATATTTATTACTCACGCGTTCAAATTATTTATTATTTACCATCATTGTAAGATTATTTGCGTATCTCGGTAATTAATAAGTAATTTAAGTATAATAAGTAATTTAGGTATTTATGTATTGTGAAGCGAGTATTGTATTGTTAAATATTTTGCAATTGAATATAGTGCCTATCATGGATAATTAATATTGAGTTTTGTTAAAGGACTAGTGTCAATTTGTTATAATTTCTCCATATTTTAAAATTATAAAATGTATACTGATTACTGGACCATGATTTTATACATGCTTTTAGACTAAAAATATGTGTGATTTATGTAGTCATGGTCCAAAATTCTTCTCGAAAATTTTATGTTAAAATTGTACAGTTATTTGTATTCATATTAAAACCGAATTATTTTTTCTTCTTTTTGCTTAACCTAAGCTAAATAAATATAATGAAAACAAGACAGAGAAATAAGGAGGAATGACTCGAAATCAGCTGGAGAAATATCTCTAGCCTTCCTTCAAGGACATCTATGACACCACCTAACGTGAGAATTCTGTACCTACACCTCCATTTTTTATTTTTCATTTCCACCACAGCAGGTAGTATCGCAATTTACTAATGTGCTTTCACTACTTTTTAAATCTCAAAGCACAGTAAAAATCCTTTGCTTCGCAAACAAAACTCTAATTATAGGAGATCCAAACAACCACCCCATTCCAGACAATTCCTCTACAAATAAACCCCAAAAGTAACCCAAGAAAATTCCTCCACTAAAATAGAATTACGAATTCTATTAAAAGCTATTAAAATCGATTACAAAAATAAATCCGTCAAATCCGGAGAAGCAACAATCTTCCGGAAAACCAAGCAGCATCCCGAGATCCACTCCAGCAAATGAAACAAAGCAAAAAATAAGAAGAACGTGCAAAACAACTGGTTATTAACATAACCATAGAGAAAGGGGATAATATGTAGGACGAACAAAGGTAGGAAGGACGATTCGGGACAAAAATAAAATAAAAATAGAGAAACAAATGAAATAAAGCAAGGAATGGAAAGAACGCAGAGAACAATCCAGAAATTAAAATGACAACAGGAAGAGCAAAAATATGAACGAGAGGAAGGCAATAAAAGGAAATAAAACAAGAATAGTAGGAACAATCCGAGGATAAATAAAAGAGAAACAAGCGAAACAAAGAAATAGGAAGAACGCGCAGAGCAAGCCAGAAATTAAGATTAGGGTGTATAGAAAGCATGGGAAGGATGAAAGAACAGGGATAGGAGGTAATACGAACGAAAGTATAATAGGAAGGACGTTCCGAGATAAAAAAGAGAGGAGAAAAAATAAGGAAAAACGAAAAAAATAAAAAACAGAAAGAGAAGAGCGAGAAGCAAAGGGAGAACAGAACACGGCGGAAGGACGAAGAGAAGGGTGGAGAGGAGTTCAAGAGAGTCGAGGGAGGTGGGTACTGGCGGCGTTATGGCGGGCGCCGGGGGTGGCGCCGCGACGCTTTGGCGCCTCCAACGCCGAGACGCTCCGGTGATGTTGGCTCCATATACCTACACATCTCAACCCCCGATGTCGCCCCTCTCTCTCCACGATATTCACGTACACGTAACTACGTGGCCGCAATGAGAGTTCGAGATTCTATTTCTCACATGTACACGTGCATTCTCTCCCTTTTCCTTGGCCCTTCTCTTTCACCTTCACCCCCTTCTCTCGCTCTCCCTCTGTCTGTCTATCCGTGTATCTATCCGTCTCACTTTTCTGTCCGATCCTCTATGCGGCCGAGCACCCAGAGACTCGTCGTAAGGTCTGAGGAAAACACCGGGGACAGAAACGGAATAAATTCTCGATTTTATACCCCCGGAAGGCCAGCCCGGCGTCAAGGTCCTCGATGGACCACGGGGTGTGGCGGCCGTGCGAAGTTTTTGCATAATCAGTTCGAGAATATGGCACCTGCTTTCATGTGCTAATCTTATATTTAACGCGGATCCTAGGTGGATTTCAATTCGTTGCGAATTGGGGGTGTGTTTTCGTTTAGGATGATCTTGCAACATGGTCGCTCGTGTTAAGGCATTATTCATTCTGCTCGTGTCTTTTTGGAATTACGCGTAGGACTTCGACTGTTCTTGGTTTTGATCCAGCAAAATTCGTATTCCTTTCTGAACGATCCGAATATTCGACGAAAGATAACGTGTTCGATTTAAAAAGATTGACTTCCGGTACGAAAATCCTATTTCCGGTTGGTAACGAAGGTTACAACTATCGTCATTCGGTTGAACATACCCGAATTAGTTATTCAAAATTATTTTCATTTTCTATAAAGGTCATGGGAGTCACTACATAGCGAGTTTGCAGGAAAACTCAGTTACAATATTTATTCGTAGATAATAAAAATCGATTTTATAGAAAGAGGATTGGTTTTGGGACTTGAGGACCCAAAAACAATA